CGCCCACAGCCACACTGACACACTTCTCTCTGGATGCACCTGATAACCTTTCTTATCTCCCACCTCGCAACAAAGAAACAGCAAAGCATACACACCTGGCCGTCGGCAAGACCTTGAGCTCTCTGAAGCCTGGCGGAGTGCTCTGTCCTTTCCTTCCTCTTGCCTGATCTCTACACCCCAACACCATTTCCTTCTCACACTTGAAATCTCCAGCCGCCTTATGCTTGCTTGTTTCCTCGGTCAAAATCCGCATTTGAGAAGAATTTAACATAGAAGTCTCACCATGAATCAATATCTCCTTATTGTTCTATTGGCTTTAAAGAGTGGTCACCCTAAAAAAAAGATACTTGTATCTTAACAGTGACTAATTCATCAACCTGTGGTTAAATAATTCAGAGATGTTTAGTTAAAGGGGATGTTGCAGATACCCTTGATATGACATCAGATGATATGGAGAGCCTTAGAAACCAGGCCAATAGTCCAAGGTCACATAGCAAACTAGAGATAGCATCATACGAGCATCAAAGTTTCCTGGGGCTGGCACTGTGGCATAGCAGGTAAAGCCACTGCCTGCGGTGCCAGCATTGCATATGGGCGCTGGTTCTAGTCCCAGCTGCTCCACTTCCAATCCAACTCTCTGCTATGGCCTGGGAAAGCAGTAGAGGATGGCCCAAGTGCTTGCGCCCCTGCACTCGCGTGGGAGACCTGGAAGAAGCTCCTGGCTTCTGGCTTCAGATCGGCACAGGTTTGGCCATTGTGGCCAATTGGGGAGTGAACCAGCAGATGGAAGACCTCTCCCTCCCTCCCTCTCTCTCTCTCCCTCTCTCTCTCTTTTTGCCTCTCCTCTCTATATGTAACTCTGACTTTCAAATGAATAAATAAATCTTTAAAAAAAAAGTTTCCTAAATCTCAGATAAGTTTTATTTCAGATCACCCTGCTACATATTTATAGGAAAAGAGAAATTAAAGAAAGTTACCTGCTCTGCCTACTTTTGAAACTGACTTAAAAGCATTCCATGACAGGTCATTCTCAGGACAGCTGAAACGGAACTCTTGACATCGTTTTCTATTCATACCTTTGAGGTGAGCTGACAGAAACTCTAGACCCTGTAAGCACCCTACCAGCCCCACTCTGTCCTGTCCTTGCTCCAGAAACCAAGGAGATGCTGTGGACCAAGGGGGCGAAGTCTCCGCCCAGTGGCTTTGATCTCCTGGTGGGGAGGACAGAATAAGCAAATAAAAACATACACCGTCAAGACGGGTGGCGATCACGCCATGCAGCAGATGAGGCAAGCCGAAAGGCCGTGCGGATGCAGGCGGCAAGGCCTTCCAGAGAGGGGGAAACTGGGGAAAGTCCTGGAATACACAAAGGAGCTCACGGAAAGGCTCTGGGGAAGAAGCTCCCAAGCAAAGAGGCCAGCGAGGGCAAAGGGTCTGAGAGCAGAACCAGCTCCCCAAGCACCAAGGGCTGAAGGGGCTGATGCCCAGCAGAGGGGAAGGAAGTATGAGGCCGCAGGGTGCTGGGTCGTGGTCAGGGTCAGGAGCCTGGGTTTAATAATGAGCCTTGAGGGAAGCCCTTGGAGAAAGTGTCTGATGAGAAAGTACACCTCCAGAAGGTCGCTCCGACTGTGGTGTGGAAAAACCCAACAGGGCGGAGGTGTGGGAACAGAAGCAGCAATAGGAGTGAGTGGACCATTGCAGTAGACCAGAAGAGAGGAGGCAGGGTTTCTGAGATGCCTTCAAGCTAGGACTGAGAGGACTTGGTCCACACTGGACATAGAGTGTGAGGAAAATGAAGGAGTCGGAGACAGCCATGCGTCAGGTGCAACTGGTGCCTCTCCTGAGATGGAAGAGGGTGGGGGAGCAGGGGCTGCAGCAGGAGGCGAGAGCTCTACATGGAGCATTTTTAGGTTTGAGGAGCCTCATGCAACATCTAAGTAGAGAAGGCATGTAGGACACTGGATCTGCAAGTCTAGGACTCAGGGAAGAAAGACCAGTGTAGGCACTGGCAGAGGGAATCTAATGGACAGGAGACTGCCTAGGGAGAAGAGCAAGAGCGGCCAGAGGAAAGAGCTGGGCCCTGTGCCCTGGAGCATTTAAAGACTGGGGAAAGTAGGGGGACCAGCACAGAGGACCAGCAGGGAGCTGCCCAGGAAGCAAACAAGATAAAAACAACGAACAACAACAAACAGAGCTAAAGAAGAAAGAAGGCGTGGACAGCATCGAGGATGTCAGCTGTGACCGAATGATAGCATGAGATTGGAGCTGGGATTTGACCACTTGATTGGTCAGTAAGGAATTCGCTGGTGAACGTGGTAAGAACGGAAGCAGCAGAGCTTGTTTGGAGAACTGTTTTTAAAGAGGTTTTACTGTGAGAAAAGAAGTAGACGACCAAGATTGGCACGGGGGTCAGTCAAGGGAGGACTCTCCTTGGGAGGGAGAGTCCAGCGGGTTGGCCTGCTGTTTGAGAAGAAGCCAGAGGGAGAGAAAGTGGTCAATGCTGGGGAAACAGGGCTTCCCTGCAGGTGCAAACACCTCAAGAGTGAGAGGAGAGGGACCAGACTATGGTACTGCAGGGACAGAGATGGTTCACTCCTCGTAACAGAAGGGAGCATGCAGCAGGCAGGCGATGAGCAGGCTCTGTTCCCATTGCTGGTTTCTCAAGTGAGAAACCAGGCCACCCACTGAGAACAAAGATGGACGCTGTAGTTTAGAAGATGGCCAAGACAAGAAGTGGACATCTCCAAAGCAGGAAATCAAGTACGCACGTGGAGCTCTGGGCATGACTGTCGCTCTCCTTGGATGCAGGGGTAGTGTAGGGTGAAGCTGGGGTCGAGCAGAGCAGGAGCATTGAGACTGCATGAGAAGAAGTGCAGCGACCCACCCTGGAGCTGAGCCAGAGCAGCTGGGGTGCAGGGCGGTCGTGCATGGAGTCGGCAGGGAAGAATCACTGGAGAGAGTGACAGAGCTGCCGGGGGGATGGTGGGCAGGAAATGGCCGTGGTGAGATTCCTGTTGAGGGGAGGTCCATGGGATTACCGTGCCAAGGACCAAATCAGGTGGGAGGCGGGGGGCGGGGAGTAAGAGTGAGCCACAGAGAGAGAGTCCAGGATGTCCGAGAATCACCCAGGTGGGTTTGCCATTGCCAAGAGAGACACCAGGGGTCAAGGTGAGGAGGTCTCTGGCCACGCGACCCTGGGAACCAGGAGCCAGCAGCAACCACACAAAGAAAGGCAGAGAAACTACAGTGTGCTGGTGTGCAACCCCAAGCGCGTGGGACTTTTTGGGCCAAAGGGGAGAGACAGTGGGGAAGGGATCAGGAGGAACATGCCCACGTTTAACTCCAACTCCGGGCCGCATAGTCTGCGGGGTTTAGAGGTGAAAAAGCAGCTACACTTGAATCCTGTGCAAGAAGCAAGGCCCCGGGTGGGCCTGCCGGGCTGCAGGTCGAGTGGATGAACAGACGAGCCAGTCAGGGCAGAGGCTTCACACCGTCAACGCCAGGGTTCCCAGCCTCAGCGCGCCTGACACCTGGGGACACGGGAGTCCAGGGGCCTTGCAGGATATGCAGCACATCCCCCCCCCACTCACTGACGCTTTCATAGCACCCTTCTCCCCAGCTGTCGCCACAAAAATGTCTCTGATACTGCCAAATGTCCCCTGGGGACAAACTCCCTCCCGATGGGAATCTAAGACCTATCTGCATAGCCATGGCGCTGTTCCTCTCTCAGCCTATCAAGGGACAGACCTGGCCCGTGGAGCAGACAGTAATACAACCTGTGAACTCTGGCTTCTCCGGAGAGCAAGTTGTAGTAGAACATGCAAACAGCATCGTCGCGGCTTCAGCAACAGCGTCTGAGGACGGCTACCTGAAGAACCGCATCCGTCCCCTCCCACGACCGTGAAAGCTGGCAGAACTGGCATAGAGCAGAGATGACTAGTACAGACCGCTACTCCCAGGATGCAGATATTAGTCCACAGGTCCCCAAGAGGTCCCACGAGAAGCTGCCACTGGGTCTTCTAAAAGAGCTAGCCTTATCTCAAAAAGTCCTCTGCAGATGCAGCGCTATGGCGTCCCACAGACTCGCGTGAAAGTGGCAGTAGGACGAGCAGGTAGACCTTTGCCAACAGCGCCCACCTGGGTCGCAGGCTGGCAGAGGGCCTGATGGTTGCACCACCTGCAACATCCTCATTGTACAACCTAATCCTCCTCTGTCAGCTCACCGGTCCAATCCAGACGCACCCATTTCCAAATAACAGTGACGTCACCTGTAATCTATTTGCTGAAGAAGGAGAAGTCACACACACACACACAATCACACACCATTTCCTCAAAGTCACCAGAATGGCAGCAACTAGAACAAACAGCCTCCACTGGGAAAGTTCACCGAGGTTAACCATTGACGGGCTTACACTGCCTGCCCTCAGTGCTAAGTGTTGCAATCCCATCAAGAATCTGCCGGGAGATAGTACTCCTTGGGCACTGTCCTAGCAGAGCAGGCTTCCTAGAGCGCTAGAGGCCAGCAGTGTGGATCTGTGGCTGCAGAAACTCTACTTCTTGGTGCTCCAGTTAATTGCATGCCCAGGATTTCATCTGAACTCACTGAGGATCAAAGCCTGCAAAGTTCATTATCAAGTGGACAAAGTTCCTGTAAAAGCACCCTTTCCCCGTCTTGCACCTTTATCTGCTGGTTAGTTGGGTGGCCACTGGACCCCAACTCTTTCCGAAGTTGGGCAAGAAAAGAGGAGAATGCGAAAACCAAAAACCTGTTAATGAACCACTCTTCAAAGAGGTGTGTGGGAGGTGAAATCCTAAACTGAAGCAACACCCAGAACCATCGGTGCCCTTTGCATAGCTCTTGCCCCAGCCCTCCAGCTGGCCATGTCTCCTGAGTATTTACAACCTGGAACACCCCCACCCGAGCCTTGCCAGGGACAGCAGAGGCGGTCCAGGAAGCCCAGCGGGGAGTTTGCATCATCGTTTGCTGATGTTTCAAGCAGTGCACTTTCCAGAGAAGCCCACGGCAGATGCTTATCCAAACTGCGCTCCCTTGCAGGCACGCAGGGCAGGTGCAGAATGCGCCCCAGCCATTCCTCTGCTGGGCGGCCTGCCCTGCCCATCCTCTCACATACTTTCCCTTTGTGGGACCCGGATGTTGAGAAGGAGAACCTTCCTCCTTTCCTCCGCCATCGTGGTGAGCGTCCCTGACTCTTCCTCGCCATGTCTTCTCCCAAGAGCTTCAGAATCAAGAGATTCCTGGCCAAAAAAACAAACAAAAAAACCCGCCCCATTCCACAATGGATTTGGATGAAAACTGGTAATAAAATCAGGTATAACTCCAAGAGGAGACATTGGAGAAGAACCAAGCTGGCTCTACGGGGAACGGCACATGAATGGCTGGCACACATATTTCTGCTGTCTCGATTGTCACCATCATCTGTATAGCTGGACGTGTCTGATTAGGGCTGTGACCAGTGGGCTGGTTCAGTAGTAAATATGTGAGACCTCTAGAAAAAAGAAAACAAAAGGAGAACATGTGTTCTATCCAGAACAGTTCTGAAAAGCAGAGAGGGACTTTCTCATCTGAAACTGTGGTTGGCTGGGAAGAAGCTCACTTGATCAGAGAGCAGCAGGCTCCCTGGGGGAAGTTTGTCACCAAAGTAAAAGCAGCTGCATTTCTCCCTTCACTCGTTTCTTCTGTTAAGCGTTTTTCTTTTTTATCAATGAGTGTTTATTGGCGTCTGCTTTGAATTCGCTTCTGTGCTACAGACTTCAGGTAGGAGACAGAACAAGTGGAAGACGTCCGTTCTCTCGACAAGGCTTGGGTGCCTATTGAGTGGCAGGCCCTAAACAGAGGAGATGAGTAAGAGTTCACCCTGGGGAGCTCCCCTCAGTCTAACAGGAAAGGCCCCTGTGTAGGCAAACTTCTCAGCCCCCGCGAAACTGGCACTGGGGCTCCTACCACGCTGAGCCGCAGGGCTGGCTCTGCTCAGTTAACTGTTCTGCAGCATCCCCGACTCCTGCCCGCTGGAGCACGGTGCACAACCCTCCTCCAAGTGTTACAACCACAACCATCTCCAGATGCCACCACAGGTTCCCCCAGAGAACAAAGGTACTGCTCCCCTTTCCGCTCATCCCCTTGCCACTCACTGACACAGACAAATATTCAAAATACCTCACAGTCCATTCAGAGCAGGGTCCCAGCTGACCTGTGATTGTCACATGAAAACTCTAAACATCTCTCTCCAGGGAGGGCATCAGAGGAGGTGACACTCGGACAGGAGTCTGAAAAGAAAGTAGGCGTCCGATGGGTAGACCAGGACGACCAGTCGTGGAGGCACTAGCTACCCAGGCAGAAAAACCGTGTGCATGGAAGCAAGAAGGCCAGGAACTGCAGGAAACACAAGCAGCTGGAGCGGGATCAGGACGGAGAGGCGGACAGGTGGCTGACGTGGGAAGGAGCTGGTGACGGACAGCAGCCAGATCGCCGAAAGCCCTGGTGCTGCACCGAGAGAGGGACCTCCTCTCACCCATGACGGCCACGCGGGCACGCCTGAAGCAGGAGCAAGACCTGATCTCGTTCTCGTTCTTTCATTCTAGTGAAAGACGCTGCTGCTGCTAAGGAAAGTTCAAGTTTAGCATGGAGAAAAAAGACACAGAAGAAATGCTACTGCACATGCAGCCACATCGGTGTTTTTAAAAATTAACAATTCTTAAGATTAATGTTAATTGTATTGTTTGTAGTACCATTTTTGCTTTTAATAAGCAGCTTCTAATTCTTTCTTTTTTAAAAAAAGATTTATTTATTTACTTGAAAGTCAGAGTTACAGAGAGACAGGGAGAGATGGACAGAGAGAAAAAGGTCTTCCCTCCACTGGTTCACACCCCAAACGGCCACAACGGCCGGTGTTGAGCCAGGCTGAAGCCAGCAGCTTTATCCGGGTCTCTCATGTGGGCATCAGGGACCCAGACACTTGGATCATCTTCTGCTGCTTTTTCCAGGCCATTAGCAGGGAGCTAGACCAGAAGTGAAGCAGCCAAGACACAAACCGGCGCCCGTACGGGATGCCAGCGCCACAGGCAGCGACTTCACCTGTTAGCCCACACCGACCCCGATCCTCCCACCAGGCTGTGCGTGTTCAGTCAGGCGCTGGGTCTGGCTTATCTCAATGCCGCACCACCAAACTGGAGAGCCTGGTGTGTAGAACCTTGGTGACTATTTTTGGATAAACGGATTTTCAGATAGTAAATGCTTCTGACTTTGCAGGTCAGGCAGTCTCTCAACGCCTCAGCTCTGCTCTTCTAGTACAAATGCAGCCTCAGGCTACGTTTGAATAAATGGGCAATGCCAAGTTCCAATAAAGCTTTATTTATAAAAACAGGAAGCAGGCTGGATTGGCCAAAGGGCCATGGTTGGCCAACTTCCGTCGAAGGCAAAGGTGTTTTCAATGTATTAAAGAGGGGCATTTCTCAAGAACATTTTTCCTAAAGTAGTCGCCCCCCACAAGCACAGGGAAGACATCCTCTTGGTCCTGGGTCCAAGTAGCTCATCTGCTCTTCCAGGCGAATGTCCCCATTTGCTCTAAGAGACTCAACTAGGTGGAGGGCCAGCAGCAGGAGAGATCTGAAGCCGTCCTTCTTTTACTGCCGAAGCAGTTACATCCTCCCTCTCGAGGCCTTGCCAAGCTCTGCGGCTTGCTGCCCTGAGATCACCTCTCCGGGGAGGAGAAAACGGAACCTTGTGACTTCCAGATGCAGAGGGAGCCACCATCACGCCCAGTAGGGCTCCCCGGGGCTGCACATAGAAGGCAAAGTTTCTCTACTTGGTGCCTGCAGAATGAGGGCCCCGAAGGGAAGCTAACGGTGGAAAGTCCGCCCTGTAGAAAATGGAACTGGAAGCTGTGAAACAGCTGTGTGCTGCTCCTCCCTCCCTCACTCTCTGGTGGGCCATTCTCTTGCCCCGGGCAGCCTCCCAGTCCTCACCTGCCCAGCACACAGACCCCACAGCTCCCAGTCCCAGCACTATCTGACTCAGGTTCTCAAGGCCAAGGCCGGGGGCTCAGCTTAGATGAGGTGGCCGCACTCGGCCTAGGAAGCTGTGCAACCTGAGCCCACTGTGGAGCTGGCACACGGGCCCACGTGGAAGGGCAGCCCGTGATGGGACAGAGAGCCCACACGTGTCCACGACGACAGGAAGGTCTGGCCACACCACGCATAACCAGGCCAAGTCGCGGAGCGGGGCACTGGGGAAGCAAACTGGGACTTAACCCAGTGTCAGCCTCAGAGCTTCACCCACAGGCGGTTCTGAGTCAACACATCTCCTCTCTGCCCTGTCCAGGCTTGGAGAAGGCACTTGGGAGGCAAAAGCTCAGACGTGAAAGACAAGGACACGAATGAAAAGCAGGTTCTTAGCCCCCAAACTACTGGGAAGCCCTCCTCCATGGGATTGCTCTGTGGTGTTTCCCGAACAACCTTTTAAGCCGCACAAGTTGGGGCTGGTATTGTGGCACATCGGAAGAAGCCGACGCCTGCAACACTGGTATCCCCCATGGACACCAGTTCAAGTACCAGCTGCTCCACTTCTGATCCAGCTCCCTGCTAATGCACCTGGGAAAGCAATGGAGGACGGCCCAAGTGCTTGGACCCTGCACCCATGTGGGAGACCTGGATGGAGTTCCAAGCTCCTGGCTTCAACCTGGCTCAGTCCTGGCTGTTGCAGCCATATGAGGAGTGACTTAGCAGGTGGGAGATCTTTGTCCGCCCCTCTCTGTCTCTCCCTCTGTGTCACTCTGCCTTTCAAATAAATAAAAAATAAATCTTTAAAAATTACACACACACACGTCTCCTGAGACGTAACCAATGTACAGCACCACACACCCTTTCAAAGACGCCTTTGGCAGCTGAGTTTCCAAATCAGGGAGAGGCAAGTGCATAGCCTATCAGGGGCTTGGGCAAATTTTGCTAGAACAAACCCAGCATTGCCCAAGAATACTATTTGCTTCCTGGTGCGAACTTCATTATGCAGATCTTATAGTCTTTAAGATATCTAGAAGATAGATTTTTTTATTTTAGAATATTTAATTCACACGGTTTGTATATATTCAAGGTATGCAATGTGATGGTGTGATGATTATATGTTGTGTAATGATGATCACAATCAAGTTAATTAATACACACACCCTTCACCACCCATGCCATATATTAGATTCCTTGAACTGAAAGTTTGTACCCTTCAATCATCCCCTCTTCATTTTCCCATCCCCCAACCTCTGGAAAGCACTGTCCTAGAAAACTTTTAAGTAGAACACCTGTACGCATCACCTGGAGCGCTCCTAGGAACACAGTGGAGGCAGCCACCCCTGGCCTTCCGTTTCTCTCATTCTCCTGTTTTTTAGGGCTTTGCAAGCCCCTCCCACTTGTGTAAGTTCCTTGAGGACAAAGAATACCAAGTCCAACCAGCCACTGAGCACCCCTTTCCCTCAGCAAGACACACTCCTGGGGCTGGCATTGTGGCTCAGTGAGCTAAGCTGCCACCCGCAGTGCTGGCATTTCTCATCGGGGCACCAGCTCCAGTCCCACCTGCTCTGCTTCCAATCCACTTCTTGCCAATGCACAGCTGGGAGCGCAGTGGATGACAGTCAAGTGCTGAGGCCCCTGCCACGCACGTGGGAGACCCGGATGGAGCTCTGGGCTCCTGGGTTGGGCCTGGCCCAGCCCCAGCTGTTGCAGCCACTTGGGGAGGGGAACCAGGGGATGGGAGATCTCTCTCTCTCTCTCTCTCTCTATATATATATATATATATATATATAACTCTGTCTTTTGAATAAGTTAGTAAATCTTTGAATAAAAACAGATTCTTGTCAAATTCTGTGTTTCTTCTTCAGTGGTTTCATTTCTTCCTCTATTCTCTTAAATGCTCTGTCCCCCAAATTCACTGCTCGCCATCCACTAAGAAATCAGACATGGTTGGCTCTCCAGTGGCAGCTCGGCAGCCACGTTCCCCGCTGTGTGCCTCAGCCCCCCCCTCGCTCATTCTTCATAGCATAACGCAGCTCTGAGCCTGAGGGTCTGAGGAGGAATCACACAGCTTCCCTATTGTGAGTTCCCGTTAGACAAGGAGCCAGCACAGGTAAACAGCGAGATCGCTGCCTAAACACGGCTTCCATCACCCAGTGAGCTCGTGGGCAGAACCACAAATGTGTCCAAAACCCAGAGCTTTGAGACGCACCGGCAGCTGTGTGAGGCTTCTCCTCTTGGCACTTCTGATGCAACTCTGATGGGTCATACAGCTGGGCTGCTGGCCCCGCGGAGGGGAGACCAAAGCCTTGGTGGAGGCCAGCAGGGCAGCGATTTGTGCGAGAGCTCCAACACCAGCCCACCCTCCAAGGAGCACTACAGACTCCACTCTCTGAAGGTCTCTGGTCCACCTGGGATCCTGAACTCATTCATAAAATAAAGGCCCCATAAACCACGCCAGAAATACCCACATCTGCACCGCACTCCCAAATCCCATCATGGCACAGCTTCCAAATGAGAAAGAGGCCGCAGATGGGGTCAGCCAGCATACATAGCTGCAGCCTTCGTTGCTTCATCCTGCAATACAAGAACTCCTGAAAGGTAACAGCTGTTTTCAATACAGTCCTTAGAGAAAGGCTAAATATCTACGCATAGAATATAGATGCTATGTGAATGCGTAGTCATTGTAAGGAATCTCGTTATTTTCAAAGCACACGTTTCACAGAAAGGGAATCACAATGCCAGGCTTGGAGCTGCAGTCCGGATTGGGGAATCTGAA